AGAAAAAAAGAATTTAAACAAAACTAGTGTACTTAAATTCCAACAAGGTATCCTAACTTGGGCAGGTGGCGCATGCCTGTAATACCCAGTGTCTTGGGAGGCTGAGGCAGGAGGATTGCGAGTTCAAAGCAAGCCTCAGCAATTTAGCAAGGTGCTAAGCAACTCAGTGAGATCTTGTCTTTAATAAAATACAAAAAGGGCTAGGGACGTGGCTCAGTGCAATCCCTGGTACCAAAAAAAAAAAAAAAAAAAACCCTGGTACCAAAAAAAAATCATGAATTCCTAGATATCACAGCACCCACATTTATTTTTTTCTAGTACACATTGATCAAATACTATATGCAGTTTATCCACCTGGAAAAGGCTCAACTGAATATTAATTTGTAACTAAAATCAAAACAAAATTGTCTAGTCTAATTAAGTTTAACACTAATCCCTTTATACTTCATCAATAATTCTCATCCAAATTTACTAAAACTCTTCTTTCTACTAATAAGTAATTTCTCCTTTTGACAGAAGTAGAAGGAGAATAAAATGACCAACATAAAAATATGAGCTAAATTAGCATACATAAATAATACTGGGTCAATAAAGCCTTTTTCATTATGTAATATATCACCCTAAGACCAAAAAAAAAAAAGGCAATTAAAAACACTGCAAATGGTAAAAAGAAAAAGGTAGTTGCTTAAAATACAAATAAGAAATGTTTGGTATTGATGGTGACTAAAAGCTCCAGAATAAGGTATAATTAGCACAAAAAGTAAAAATAAAAATAGCTGGGCACAGTGGCACAGGCCCATAATCCCAGCAACTCATGAGACTCAGACAAGTTCAAGGCCAGCCTCAGCAACTTAGTGAGGATCTAAGCAACATAGTGAGACCCTGTCTTAAAATAAAAAACAAAAAGGGCTGGGGATGTAGCTCAGTGGTAAAGTATCCCTGGGTTAAATCCCCAGTACCAAAAAATAATTAATTAAGTTGTAGAAGCTGAGAATTAGAAATAAAATTAGATCCAGTTCTCAAGAGTACATAGATATGGATTCTTAGGTTTTAATGTCCAGGTACTTGGATTCACTAAGACTTAAAGTGGTATCCAGGAATTCGCATTTTGAAACATAATGTGGTCCAAACCCATAAAATTAGAACTAAATGAACTATGTTAGGTGTGTCAGAATCCAGGCCTTAACTCAGGACAGTGGTCTTCCCACTATGCCACTTAAACTGCTCTACAGTTGAAGAAACTATGTCAAAGAAAGAATAAGTTACTAATATTTTGAGTCAATAAGCTCCAATTGCTTTTTATAACTCATTCACCAAGTATTTCTTAAGCATCTCTTATGTGTACAGCCATATGGAACAATACAAAACAATTTAAGATATGAGCACTAGGGGGTGGCTCAGTGATAGAATGCCAGAGGCCCTGGGTTGGATTCCTTGGCCAAAATGACATGAAACCTATCCTCTAGAAACAATTACTAATTGGGAGGACAAGATAAATACATAAAAACAATAACATGAAGGCTCTTCTTCTTTACTACTAAAAAGTTGGCCTTTGGCTGAGGATGTAGCTCAGTAGTAAAGTAATTGCATGCCCTGAGTTGTACCCCAAGCAGGGAGGGTGGAGGAGAAAAAAAATATATATATATATACACACACACACACACACACTTTTAATGAAAAAAAAACAATGTCTTTCTTTGTCACAGACATCTCTTTCCACACATTTCATAGACACACCAACATCAATACTGCATACCACAGGCCACATTCCAAGACAGCTTTTGTAGAGACCAAACCTGGTGTCATTTTAATGCAAAAGCCTATTTAAGAGCTTAGCTCCATTCAAATGTTAAGGAAAGCCTCTTCCCTTCAATCTACCACTTCCTCATCTCAAATGGTAGATTGAAAGTTTTAATCTTCATTCCTGTGCAATGGAACTAGAGGCAAAAATGTACTTCTACACCCCCCAACTCCTCCCTTGTCTTGGGCTTGGCAGTAAGACTTAGTTAGCCAATGAGATGTTAGAGAACCAGAGTCTGGAAAAGTGCTGGTGGGTTGGGCTTGCTCTCTTCAACTTCTGCCACAGCACTGATAACAAGCTTTTTCCAGGTAGATGTTACCCTGCTTCCAGCATGGATTCCATAATGAGAGAAGTGGAGCAGAAGAAATGCTTACTGTTGCACACCACTAAGATTTTGTGATTGCAAATTATTATGCAGCAAGAGGTGACTGAATCACCATATTTAAAAAATCTAATCAGGACTGATGATATAAAGCACTCATTCTCAAATTTACCTGATACTCTCTGGAGTCCCAGAGAGATTCATTCAGAACAACTAGACTACAGGACTAAAAAGATCACTTTTTCAATCACGACTGATTCTGTTGCAGTGTCCACATTTCTAGAAACATTGAAATTAAGATTACTAAACTTCCAGTTACTCAACAATATTCAATAACTGCTCAACAATACTAATAGATGACTCACTTGAAACAATGTGTGCTCCCAAAGGAGATGTATGTAATTGAAATCTAGTCAAGAGAATTATTTCAAATGCATTACAGAAGCTGACACTTAAACACTTATATTTTGTTAAAATTAAGTCATTTATAAACAAAGTACATCTTATTTTTTCATAAATCCTAATTTTTTGCATACCAACTATATTAAGAATTAAGAAGTCCAAGAAGATAGAGTAAGTAGGAAAGAGGAATTCAAAAATAATTTATCCATGTTCCCAAAGAAGGATATGCTCTGTATTCCAGTACATTTTTTTTTTCCTATTCAGGTGAATTATGTGCATCTGTCCAATTACATCATGACATCCATATATCCCAAACCCATTCTGGTCACCTTGAACTTAAAATAATAAAACTGCACTAGCCATTCCAATATCAGGCAAAGTTTTATACATTCAGAACCATGACATCTGCATAACCAGTGCCTACACTATTATTCTCTGTAATGTCCCCACTACTTTTCAAAGGTGAAAAAGGTGAAACATTACTCTATCTTCATGTTCCAATTAGACTGAGAAGTAGTTGTTGCCTCTGTTGCTGTTAGAATTAATGTGGTGGGTAAGAGTGCAGGCTATAATCCTGTCTCCATAATTTCCTGACTGTGTAATTAGTTATTTAAATTATCTGTACTTTTCTCTCCCTCTCTAAAAAGGGAATAACAACCTGCAGTACAGAATTGTCAAGAGGATAAAAAAAAAAAAAAAGTAAAGCTATTTGAAAATGTGCTGGTGCACAGAAAGCACTCAATAAATACTAACTATTATTATTGTTACAGCTCTAAAACCCAGCTTCCTAGCACTGTCATCAGGTGCTAGGTAATACTAAAGAAAAAAGATTAACACCATTTTTATTAATCTATCCCCTTTAAAGGGACACTATTCTAAGAATATTTATTTTGCCAAATATAAATGGTTTATTTTAAAAACAATGTTTTCTTCTCTTGTTTTTGTCAGTTCTGATCATAAAATGATAAGCATGTCACTATAAGAGAATCTACATTCCAAAAGGGTAAAGAATAAAAAAGAACAAAAATATTCTGAAATTTCTGCTCAAAGAATGACTGGTTAGCTTAAGGCCTTTTTTATTCTTCTTATTTTACAAGAACCACATGGCTTGTGGCTAGAGAATTTAAAGAGCTAAATAACAAATTTAGAGAAAAAAGTGTTCATTTTTACTTGAAAAATAATTGCAATGACTAAAAATATTAAAATCAGTGTCAAAACATATTCGATTCAGAAGCTCATGAGTTTAATATAAAATACAGACCCTAATTAACTTACCATAATTAACAATGGACATGAATCAGTAATACCAAAAGCACAGTAGAAAACTTTAAATTTTCTTTCAGTATTTTCCCAAAACAGATTTTTATAACCTCTCTAACAAAGCAATGAGAAATTTATTCAATGTGAAAACTACACATTTGTAAAAAGAAAAGTAATTGGAAAGCCAACACTCTTGTCCTTCGTTTTTTTTAAATGCATAATCCATGTGGCTATTCTTTGTCAAATTTAAGAATTATATGTACAATTCACTCCTGAAAATGTCTAAAAGCAAATCACCAAAAGACTGCTTGAAAAATGCAGTTGCATTGTGAACATGGGCCTTTTTCTTAAGGTGGCTGAGAATTTAAAAAGAAATAGCCAAAGAAAAGGATGACTGTTTCCTTTTACATTTCAGTAAAATGTCAAAGTACTTTCAGGAGTCAAATCTCTTAGAAGTGTGACATGAAGTTAAAGTTGTCTCAATGACAGGGAAGTCAATAGATGACAGGTGACCAATAAAAGTGATCAAAATACTTAATGCTCAACAGTAATTCCAGAAACACATTAAATGAGTGTGTCCAAGTTAAAAAGATGGAGATATAATTGCTAGAACAATTATTTGGTAGCAAATTAATACTAATGGTAACAGTAATGAATAATATTATAGAGTGTATCAAGAATCCCAGTCTGGTTTCCTCAACATTAATTCTATTCATTCAGTAACATTTTTCAATAATGAAAAGTAACATGCATTCCCAAAGAGTGGTGGAAATCTAAAAATAAATGCAAGTATGTGTTTAGTTGATGTTCTTTTTACTATAAGCCAAATCCGCTTCTTTTTGTTGTGTGTGTGTGGGGGGGGGGGACTAAAGCTCTGTTTCCAAAGATCTCCTAATAGACACTGTTCACTGGTGATTAAAATATTATTTTTATTCCTTGCATTACCTCACAGCTAAAAATGTCAAGATACCACACCCAACATGTCTTTTTCCCCCCCAGTGGAGGGGGATGGGGGTGAGAATATGGGAGTGAGGATATGAAACTACACGAAAACACTAAAGGCGATTTCGCTGGCAGGTACCCGGCAGCAGATCCCCTCCACAGTGACCCAAGGGGACGTGTCGCGAAGGGCGAGCGCAGGCCTGGGCCTCCGAGGGCTCCCTCCCTCGCCACCGCTGGGCAAGTGGCCGGGACGCGCTACCCGGGGCTACTCACCGGCCGCAGTGCTGACCAGCAGGATGGCCCACGGTAGCCAGGGCACCCGCCAGGGCCGCTGCAGCGAGGAAGTCATCCCTGGACCAGTCAAGAAGCAGGAGGGGGAAAAATATATATATGGAAAGTAAATACGGGCAGACAAATCCGGCAGGGAGGCTGGTCTTCTCCCGTCTGACTTATCCTGCCCGTATTACAATGCAGTTTGAAAGGACAAATGGCAGATGAGAGGACCTAGCTGCAGAGCTTTCATTCCGCTGCAGAAATTCCCTTCATTTCGCTCCCTCGCGACTGGGGGGCTTCATTCGCCTAGGAGGGGGTGCCTCGGCCCCCCAAACTGAAGGCATGTCCGTGGGGAGAAACAGGGGGAGCAGAAAGAATCCCGGCAGTTATTTTCCTCGTAGTTTCACGATATGAAAAAAATATCCAGGTCTGCGAGAAAACATATCCAAGGAGCAGAGGAGTGGAGGGCGGGGATTCGATGGGGGGCCGAGGATCAGAACAAGTTCCGGACTGCCGCGAAGGGCGAAGCCCGGCGGGCGGCAGCGGCGCCCGGCGGCCCGAGTCGCATCGCCCGCAGCTCGAGGAAAGCAGGATTCCTTTTAAAGTTTCGCTTCGGTGCTTCCTTCACTCCGATTTCGAGAACAACAAATCCTCTCCTTCGACGAGATCGAAAACGGTGGTTGCCTCCATGGGCAAGCCCAAGCCTACACACCCCGCGGAACAATCGCGCGAGGGTCGCGCAGGCCCGGCCGCGGGCTGCCGGTCGGCGCGAGGAGGGGGAGGGGGCGGCAGGCAGGGCCCGAGCTCCGAGGCGGCGCGTCGCGGTGAGGTACGGAAAGCTGCCCCTTCTCTCCGTGCCGAACGCGCGCCTTCTCTCTCGCTTGAGGCTATTCCTGCCCCTCGATCTTGCCTGACGTGAATTCCACCATGAAAGCTTCGTCTTCGCCCATCAATGGCTCCTGTGAACGAATCACAAACCCTCGAGAAAGAAGCTGCTGCTGCTGCTGCTGCTGTCGCCGCCGCCGCCGCCGCCGCCGCCTCGTTCTCCCGCAGCTCTAGGCTCCGGGCGGAGCTCGGGCGTCGCGGGCCGAGGGCGGGGGGCGGCGGGAGGGCTGATGTAGGTTGCTGGGAAAAAGGGTGGGCAGCAAGCCGGCGAGACACCCCGTGCCTCTCCGGGAAGCACTTCCAGTGGCTTGGAGCAGACCAGACACAAAGGGGGGAGTCGCCGCAGCTGCCAGTCTGCGGCGCTCCCGGTCACCGGAGTCGCCCCGCCTCCGCCACCGCCTCCTTCTCAGTCTCCAGCTCTTCCCGGCCCAGTCTGTCTCGGGCCTGTGGTGCAACGCGGGAGGCGGCGGCGGCGGCGGCGGCGCGACGAAGCCGCACTGCGCCTGCGCGCTCGCGGCCCCGCCCGGCCCCGCCCCTGGCTCCCGGGCTGGCCCGAGATCCGAAGCCTCGCGCAGTGTCTCTCACCAAAGCCGCGGAGGGCAGGGTGGGGCTGGCAACCCGCGCGGGCAGCAGTGGCCCTTCTGCCTCACACACACAAGCCTTCCGTACGCGGATGGTTAGACAGTTGTGTGTGTACGTACACTACATCTTTTGTCCAGCATTCGGCTAACTCTTCCTACATTTAGCTGGACTGAGGCGTCGCTGTCGCCCCAAGTCCCCTGGAGAAAAGCTTCAGGGGCAGAATTACCCCCGTTGTTTCATGCAGCCAGAGCCTCTTTCTTCGTAACCCAAAGAATCCGGACGGACCTGCCTTTCCCAGAACGGAGACCCTGGCCTCCTTGGTCTCCTTTTACTGCTCAAACAAAAGCCCGAATTGGAAAGACCACCCCTAAACTGATGTGTTTGCTCTAATCGGCGCCGCGTTTTCCTCAGGCACCTTTCCGCCTTAGTCCTTTTTAGTTGACAGGAATAATTGAGCATTTGCGAGGATGCTAAGCTAAAAAGAAAACTCTGAAAATTCTACACAACGTCTTGCCCTACGTGCACGTCTGTCTGTGCAACGCGGTTTCCACATCTCCGAGGGAGGGCTTTTATTCACAAAGACTGCGGGTCTTTAGGGGCTTTTTAGGGCATATGGAAGGAAAATTGCAATGGAGTTAATGCCTCCGGGTAGAGAGTGAGATCAAGCCCTCACACCCTTGGAATTCAGGAGGTTCTGTTGGTACCACAGTTCCGTAGTCTGTTTAGGTTTTGTTGTTGTTGTTTTGTTTTGTTTTGTTGTTTTCCTATTTGCAAATTTGGTTTGACTCAAGCACCAGGATAGGGGAGGGAGTTCCATCCAACACCTTGCAGGGTCAGCCAACTTGGGTGGGATTTTGCTGGAGGAGAGGGGAGAAGGTGATGTGTCTGGCGCCATGATCGGAAGTCTGGGTTTAATTCTTAGCTGCAAGGTGGAAAAATTATGTGGGAGGGCGATCTTAAGAGGTGAAGTCTAGTCGTCCCTTCTCTTAGTAGGCAGAAGGGTTATTCTGAAGGCTGGTTTTGCTGGTCTTTCCTTATAGCTAGGGGCAGTTCCAAAGAGGTCTTCATAAATGCACTCCGAAAATCACACTCTCTGCTTGCTTGTTCAAGTCTTCTTTAATCTCTTTATCTGAACTTGATGTAAATAAATCTCCACATTCCTTAAACTGGTTTCTGTTATCATATATATCAGCTATAATTAGGGGTTGTAGTAATACTTGCACAGAACTCTAAGACTCTTTTTAGTTGAAATATTTTTATACTGTTTACCCTTCAGGCAAAGAGAAGTTTTTCTATATAGTAAAATCCCTTTTTAAAAAGAGAGGAGCATATGCTTTGATTCATTAGTTTTATTTACTATATTTTATTTTGCCTAAAATGTCTAAAATAAGAAGCTGGTATTACTTTAACATTTGGCTTTCAAGAAATTATATCTAACACTCAGGAAAACAGGATTTCAGTATGTTAGAAGGGCAGAAAGTTTATTAATTGGTAGTATATTGTTTTCCTTCAAATTGGGATCAAGAACTTAAGTATTTATTTGCTGGGGATGGAACTCCTGGCTCCCTGCAAACTAGGGCCTCATGCATGACAGGTAAGCACTCTAACCCTGAGCTACATCCCACTGTAACCCTGAGTTACATTCCAGCCCTATTCTATTTTTGTTTACACAAAATTTTCCTAAGAAACATTAACTACCCTTATACATATATAGGGTAAATTATATAAAAAAGAGAAAAATGGTCTTAGGAAATTCACATGAAGAAATACATGACACTAACTTGGTAGGAATAATTAGTAAACAACTAGATATTAAACCCTTTCCTTTTTGTTGTCTTTGTAATATCTCACTTGGGACATAGTTATTCACTACAGTGAGAAAAAAACATCAAAGAATCAGAACTTGGCAATGACTTAGCCACTACATACACAGACAATACAAGTCAAGCTTAGGTGAGAACAAAGGACCCATACTTGCAGTGAGGTCTGGCATCTATACTAAATCAGGATAAGTAGATTGTAACAACATCCCCGAAATTTCAACAAACAGCTTATTGCAACAAAGATTTATTTCTCACAGATTAGTTCTTTGATACAAGTCATCAAGGAACCTATCATGAATGAAGTTCACCAGGAAACAAGCCCTAAAACTGTGAAATTTGTATGCAGGAGGTTATTGAGTAATGCTCCTTGGGGACTGAGGAGGCAAGATTGAGTAGAGGGAGAAGTTGAACTATAATACAATTGCAAATGATCCTTCACCCAATTTCAGCATTGTCCTTCATTGAGTCAGGGGGTTAGGTCTTTATGCCCTTTCAGCAGCCAGTTACTGGCTATGGGTTGCACCCAGGGAAGGAAGTTAACCTTAGCCAGAACAATCTCGGAGAAGGACTCAGCTTTTAGCCACCAACATTTCCAGTATTTGGAGAAAAAAAAAAATGCTTCATATCTAAAGGGTGGATCTAGGGAGCTCAGCATAATATCCACTGCAGGGACCCTGCTCATTGTAGTTACTGAGATTCCCAGATTGATAGAGGCTTCACTGGAATATATGCTTTCTAGAATTGTCACAGTAGAAAATTTAAATCCTAGGGCTGCATCATCTTGCCCTAGCCATTAAAAAGTTTCCACCTAGAAAATAATGTCCTTACTTCCATTCACATTTTATTGGTCATTGAAGTCACACGGCAATTATGCCATGATACTAGGTGGAGCACCTGGATACTTATGAATAGTTTAATGACTACTATGATATCCAAGGGTAAAATAATACCTAGTACACTAATCACCAAAAGTCCAACAAATAGAATGGTATTATCCTCAACCAGATATCGAAGGGGAGCAACACAGAAATCCAGGAGAACAGACCAATAGCACCAACAAGACTGATAGATCCTTACTATGTATTACAGCCCCTCATGAATTATATCTTTCCTTTGAATTGGAAGGATTGGCAAAAGCAAATGGACATGATTTTAGGAAAAGACAGAATTACTAAGCAGATTCTTAGAATAAGAATTGGAGTAAGAACTCAGGCAGAATTTCTGTTAAATGAATGAGAACACACAGGAGTTACCTGGGCCCAGAAAGACTGAGTACTTCTAAGAATAAACTTGTGACCATAAAGGGGTAGTATCAGAGAAAAGTAGAAGAAAAATTCTTAACTCTACTAGAAAAACAATATGGATGCCCAGAGGTTAGCACTGGGACATCTTTCTAAATCAGAATAACAGAAGACAACTTAAAGCTGCTTAGAACTTTAGAATTTAATCTTTAGGCTTAAACTGAGAACATGGTATAGTCTCTTTTTGGCAGATCAAGGTATACTTATGGGGAGATAGGAAAACCCAATTGTGAGGTAAGAAGATGAAATTAAGATTGACCTCCTTGACATCCCAAGACTTGAAAACAACTTTAAATCTCTCTCAAACCTTTTTAAGGAAAGTAAATAAATAAATAAGAAGAGCTATTGAAACCTAAATCTATATTCCTGTCTTTTCCCTTTCCTTTTCATCTATCTTTTGAAATTTTAATTAGCTCAACTAACCTAGGATCACCCTTTCCTTCAAGAACAAAACAAAATCATCTGAGCCTCCCATCTTGAGTGACTGTCAGCAGAAAACCCTAGCTTCTCCTCAAGCATTTGAAAAAATCCCAAGGAAAACTAATATTTACCACACTTTTACTTGATTTGCTCTGGACTTCTCTATGGACATATTCTAAGAGTTTTTCCTTGCGAATGCTAGACACTGAGCTTAACATTCCTCCAGAGGATAGATACAGGGCCTTTCATTTAGTCTCCAAGCTACTCTATGCCCATATGTGGTTAAAATTTTGGGTGGTTAATTTGTTTTAAGATGGTTGCAGATGAAGAAGGAGAAGAAAAGGAGGAAGAAGGAGAAGGAGAAGGAGAAAAGAAGAAAGAGGAAGGAGAGGAGGAGGAGAAAAATGTGTATTCCTCTTCAAAACTATTATTCCTTAACCTGTAGCCAACAACCATATTCTTAGGATCCAGTCCCATCCTCTCCATTCAACCATCAATTTATGTAATCAGCAAATTTTGTTGTTGTTGTTTTGTTGAGACAGAGTCTGGCTATATTAAACAGTCAACCAGTCACTGTTGTAGGTATTAGAGATAAAGCTAGGAACAAGGTAGATAAGTTCCTTCCTTTCATCCTCTCGTGATACTGACTTATGCTCATTTTCTATTGTTGGGTAACAAATTACCATAAACTTACCAACTC